CTCCCCCTCCGGTTTCCCCCCCTTCATTCCTCCCTTCCTGCTATCTTCTTCTTCTTCTTCTTCTTCTTTTTTTTTTAACATATAATGTATTATTTGTTTCAGAGATACAGGTCTGTGATTCAACAGTCTTACACAATTCACAGCACTCACCATAGCACATACCCTCCCCAATGTCTGTCACCCAGTCACCCCATCCTCCCACCCTCCACCACTCCAGGAACCCTCAGTTTGTTTCCTGAGATTAAGAATTCTCTTAATAGGTACTTTGCACTTCAGGCTCATAGGAAATATTTGGAAGGCTTTTCCCAAATATATCTCTGAAATTCAGAGAAATTGAATGGGCTATCTGTGTTTGGTTTCCTATGATGAGTAGTTAGCACTAGCTGGTGACCAGATGGGATATTGGAAAGAGACCCATGTTTTATGTCTCCTTTTTAATAAACCCATATTAGAACCTAATGAAGAGCACTTATGTTTTATAATGTCTTGTGACCATTTGGGAAGAAATATGTTCTAGAATTGATCAAAGTCAAATTAAGGGCCTATAATTTTCTTCTTTAGAAAATTGTGATATTCTAACTTTCGTTTCCTGGAATTTTCTTCTTTCTGCATAATCTCTTCAAAATGAACAATTTTGACATTGTTGTAAAAAGTTGAGAGTAATCCTCTCTGAAATCTCTTGAAAGTGAGTCATTTGGCACCTCTAGAGGATCATACCAGGTTTTCAACCTAAGGTACAGGAAGGATGAAATTAAATTGAACTAAGATAGCAACGTTTTAGAAGGAACAATGTTTTAGGGGAATATCAATTACTGAACATGTTCCTTTTGCATGTCTAGTGGATATCCAGTGGAAATGTTACATAGGTAGTGGGATAAGGAAGTCTAGAACTACAGGAGCCAAATATGGAAAGAGCCCAGATGTCCATCAACAGATGACTGCATAAAGAAGTGGTACACACACACACACACACACACACACACACTGGAATATTACTCAGCCATCAAAAAAAAAAATGAAATCTTGCCCTTTGCAATGACATGGATGGAACCAAAGGGTATTAAGCTAAGCGAAATAAGTCAGTCAGAACACACAAATACCATATGATTTCCCTCATATGTGGAATTTAAGAAACAAAACAGATGAACATAGAGGGAGAGAAGGAAAAATAAAATAAGATAAAAATAGAGAGGGAGGCAAACCATAAGAGACTCTTGACTATGGAGAAAAAACTGAGGGTTGCTGGAGGGGAGGTGGGTGGGGGATGGGGTAACGGGGTGCTGGGCATTAAGGGAGGCACTTGAAGTAACGAGCACTGGGTGTTCTATGCAACTGATGAATCACTGAATTCTACCCCTGAAACTAATAAAACACTATATGTCAACTAAATTGGATTTAAAAATTTAAAAAAAAGAAGTCTAGGACTCAGAGGAAATATCTAGGCTGGGAGGAATCAGTATATAGATGATAATTACAGGCACAGGACTTTGTGAAATAAAATAGGGAGTGGCTATATACAGACAAAAATTCCCAAGAAGGAGATCTGGGGGCATGCCAGCGATAGGGGACAGGAGATACTCAGGAAGATCCCGCATGAGACTGAGCAGCGGGTGAAAAACCAGGTGAGGGTCATGTCCTCGAAGCCAAGTGAAAACAGTGTTTCAGAGAGCCCTTTTCCTTAACCCTCTGGGTTCTCAGACTTTGAACAGAGTCAGTCTGAGGGTTCTGTGAGATCCCAAGATTTCATTTTACAAGAACTTGTGTTTCTCCTCAGAAAATTCTAAACTGCATCTGAGACTTAACTCCCAGGAAGTCTCTGCGGCCTGACGTGGCCAGAACTGGGGAATCAGTAGACCTTACTTCTCATGCCAGCTCCGTGTTTTACTACCATCGGGACTCTGGGCAAATGGCTTTCCCTCCCTATCAAATGGTTGTAGTTATGCTTCCTTGCCCTCTGCATAGGCTGATGAAACGGTCCACGGAGCGGACAGAGCACTCTGCACATTGTTGGAGTACGTACCAAGGATGCCATCACTGTGACTGAGGTTCAGAGGGACCAAGATTTCTTGCTTGTGAAGCCCCAGGGAAGCCAAGCCTCTTGGTCAGCCGATGCTGAGGGAATCATGAGACACACTCTGGCTGATGTGTCCTCTCATAAATTACTGCTCAGTAGATATCAATTCTTTTTAGAAATACTCTTTTTGAATACTCCTTGAAAATACTCTTTTAAAAAATAATAACTAAAATTTTATAACGAATGCAGCTCCTTTCATTTCAAAGAAATTCTTCATGATGGTGGGTCAGAAGTATAAGAAATTTATATGAGGCTTTCCCAAACTAAGACTATGATCTTTCTATCTTTCTAAGTCTTTATATCTAAACACATCGTAGTTCTGTCACTGCTTTTACTTATTATGGAAAAAAAAAGAAAAAAAAGAAACTTCATTTATCAGTGAAACTTTTATGTACGATAGTTAATGCATTTTTATTTTTCATTTGTGTTTTTTTTCCAGTTCCCAACAAAAATAAATAAACATTAACAACATCTTGTAAAGTATCTATATTCTCCTTCAATATCTTAAGGTACACAATTATCAAAGTTGATATTGAACACAAACAAATTGATACAATTCAGTACTCTGATAAAATCCATTGTCAGATAAGTTAGTTTAAACTGCATGCAACACAACTTTATGTTCCATAGCATCTTCAATACAAACTGTATACCAAAATGGCTCTTCAAACTTAAAAAGTGCAATTATTAAGAGTGCAAAAACAGCAAAGAGAAAAATACGTTATCTTACAGTTAGCATCATCCATTTTGAATAATGGACATGTTTTAGGTAAAATTACTTTTTGCTAAAACATTTAAAACATACACTGCTTTGCAAGTTGTTACTCCCTTTCTCCCATATGAATAAGAGTAGGAAAAAAAATCAGAAAATATTGGGTAGCAAGTTGAACACATTTTTTCCTTCCGAAGTCTACAGAGTGGATATTGGAGCAAAAATGACAATGCAGATCGGACATGAGCTTTTCAAAACAAGATTACTGAATTCAACAGAAATTAGAAACTAGTACGTGTATTTCCAACTTAAAAATTGACTTAATGCCTGACAGCATTTGTTCTCAGTACGTTGGATATATATAGCCTCTTCTAGAAATATATATAGTGAGAAATCTGTAAAATAAGGAAGATAAATATGAGCCCAAATCTTTCCATTGTTTGTAGGAAATTTGACCTGATGGCAATCATCTGCTGTCTGCTCAGAATTACCCTCATCAAAACAATTATTTCTGACTTATTTTCACCCATAGGACACAATCTGGGTCATATCTCTTTATTATTTAATATACATTTATAAATATAGATTTAGCTTTTACAGGGGCTAGTTTTTTAAGCATCCTTAAGATTAAAAACACCTCAAACTACTTACAATTAGTTACATAATATGAATTGAGATGTTTAAGATAAACCAGTGTAACTCCCTTTTTGTAAGTTAAATAAGTGAATTGCAGTTGATTTCTCAGTAAGTCAATTTTCTTTGACACCATCAAGATCACTTAAAATAGGCTTCATTTATATCTAGTAGGTGTCAGTAAGAATGTGTAGGACTTAAGATGTGTTCTTACACAGCACATTTGACTTCAGCTATATTAAATGGGAGCCAGAAATATCCTTTTAGATCTCACTGAATTTTATTTTATTTCTCTTCATCTTGTTTTTAGATTTCATCTATTTTTGAAAGAGCAACAAATGACTATAATTCTATGATTGAGCTCATGTGTACATGTGTTTTTGCATATGAATATGTATATTTTATATATGTATATTTTATACACACACACACACACACACACACACACACACTCTGTGTGTTTTTCCCCTAATAGTAAGGGACCAGATCCAACACTTTGGGGAAGAGTCATACGAAAGCACCAGGGCACAAATGAAGGGAAGAAAGAAGGGATCCATATGGAGACAAACCCTGGCACCTGGCACTTCAGAAGTCAGCCATTGTTTCTTTTCTCATTGTCGCCCTAGCACCTGCCAGGAAAAAAGGTGGAAAAAGAATAGACCCTCCCTAACAAAGATGTGTGATGCTGAGAGACTCTACCCACAGGTCTAGTATTCAATGAGGCAGTCTCCCCTGAGGCTGGAAGGTGTTGACAGCCACGGTTCCTTATTCGGTTGCCCCAGGTACCCTTATTAACTCACTGAGACCATGGGTTCAAGCACACGAGAAACCTTCTTCTCTTCCCCCCAAAATAAACAAAAGACAGAAAACTGGGCCCTGGTTTCATCTCAGTCTCCAACAGAAGGCATGGTTAAGTCTCTAAATTTCAGAAGTTTTCAAAAGAATTTGTTCATTTGGGAAAATACACTGTGATCTATTTCTTCTACATCCTACATCAGGAGATTACTTTAACCATATAATTTTAAATTGCAGAAGGAGCTACTTAACTGCATTGTCTTAAGTTAAAACTCTTTTGCATAGAAGATGAAATAACTGTATTACCATCTTTTGACAATAGATAGAATTATTGTCTTATTTTTTAAAATGGTGATTAGTCCCTCAAATTTTGGACTGCGACTTAATCTTAGGATTCTTAATCAAATTCCCTCTGAAAAGAAATACCCTTGAAAAGAAGCCCAAATTCGGGCTCCAAGTGTGGATTTTTTTTTAATTGTCTCATGAGTGACAGTTACCTCACATAAATGTTGTACTGAAAAGAAAAGTAACATCACGAAGCTATAAAATGCCTGCAATTTATATGAAAGATGGTATAAAATGAAGTTGTCAATTCATTTAATGCAAGGAGAAGCTGCAGATGGGTGACTCGTATCTGCAGGAGTTGTGGGTAGAGTAAGGAACTGCCCACCTCCCTTCCAGGCCACTAAACACGGAGCCACAGAGGAGGATGGGGTGGGGGGACACAGCCCTCCCCGGTTTAGGTTGTTCCCAGTATGTAGCGTTTAGCACAGGATCCAGATTTGCTTCTCGCCAATTCCCATCACATTAGTGTTTTAATACATAACACCATCGTGCCAAGTCATACATCAAACTACAATATAGTCAAACCAGTTATCGCTAATTGGAGGAGTAGGAAAATAACACTTATTTGAGTTGATTTGACCATATACTTAGGCTTAACAGAAACCTGTCATTTGTGACACTTCCTGAGCAACAAACTGGACATCCTTCACTCCTAAACATGGCGGTAGCCAGCAACTAAGCTTTGGAGCTAAAGCATTTAGTCCAGGAAATTATTTCTTACAAAAATATTGACTTTTTTTCTATATTATATATTTCTTATACATTATACATTAGCAAATAGTCTGTCAAAAATAAAACAAAAATAAAAAAACTTGTCCAAATATATTAAAAGTGCACCATTGTCGACTTATCACATGATCCAGCATAAATATTATTAATAAAATAGGAATATTAACATAACCAGGCGTGCATAACCATCCCTGCCGGTAGCTTGATGGCCTCATTCAGACTTGTGGCAATGCTGGATCCCCTGACGTCACCCTTTCATATTCCTTTTTGGGTTCTTTACTTTTTCGATTTCTGTACCTAGAAATATTCAGAAATGAAACTGTTAGCACTGTAGTTAATAGTATTAAAAACAAAGTATGCTAACCAAATAAACCAACATACAGACTCAAAAGGTACATCAGCGTAGCGTTTCCAAAATGACAAAGGTCAACAGGTTTAGGCTGGACCAGAGAAAAAAAAGAAGGAGAAAGGGGTAGTGTTCTGTGGTCAAACAATTTGGGGAGGGAATGGAGAAACACAGTTAAAGGACTTCTCCGAGACTTTAACATGTCATGAAAATTACAAAATTCCAGGAGAGCATGTGACCAAATTTAAGCCTAGGTGTTTCATTCTTTCTCCTTCTCTCTCATTTTTCTTCCCTTCCTTTCCCTTCTCTCTCTCCATTTCTCCCACTCTCTCTTCTTCCTTCCTTCCTTCCTTTCTTTCTCCTTCTTTCTTTTTCTTTCTTTCTTTCTTTCTTTCTTTCTTTCTTTCTTTCTTTCTTT